CGCTGGACAGACGGACGAGCGCATCCACCTCCCTCCCCACGTACCTCGGAGCAGAACCGTAGGAAAGGGTCATCCTCCCGAATCGCCCGACCTTCTGCAGCGGGAGGGTGCTAGTGGGGGGCAGGCGGGGGGCGAACCTGCTGCTGGCCGAGGGGTCCCAATAGGAGACGGACCGCGGGAGTCGCTCCGCCAGGCTCTGACGGAGGAAACCGGCCCGAGCCCTGGATGCCTCTGACATTTCGACTCCGCTCGAGCTCCTGCTCCTTTCCCAGCCCTCGGTTGCCCCATTTGTCCCCCTCCTCTGTCATCACCCCCCGCCCCGCATCTCACTTACCATTCCTTCCCCTCCCCCATTGCTTCTATCCTGGGCACCCACCGATCTCCGTCCCTCCTCCTCCTCCCCAGCCGCTTGGGCTCTGCTCTCCTCCTCCGTGCCAAAAGCTCTTTTCCCTGCCCAAAGCCAGGATCTCGTTTCCAGCACCTCCCTCCACCTGTCTCCAAGCCCTTTAACCCTCTCCCATGCCCCGTTTTGGGTTGCATCCAACCCAAACCATTCAATTCTATTTTTTTTTTTCCTCCTTCCAGAGGAGCAGGGGGGTGTTCAGGAAGGAGTAAAATTTCCATCCCTCCTCCAAAACCATCGATAAATGATCCGCCTCCCAGCTCGGATTTGGAGTAACATCATCCAAAGAAGGGTGGAACCACCTCCTGAAGGACATCCCCCACCTACCCCGGGTGGCTTGTTTAGGATAAGGAGAGGTTGGGACATCCAAAATAGCAGGAAAGATTTTTTTTGGGGAAAAAAGGGAAATTCAACCCTACTAAGACGATTTCTGGCTTTTGGCACCAAATCACCCTGAAGGACCTTTTATTGTCCACACTCGATGGATGACCCAACTTCTGTTGAGTCTAAGGGAATTTTGAGTGGAAAAAAAAATACCAATATACACATTTTTTAATATTCTCTCGGCTTCCAGCACCTCCCTGATGCTCTCCCTCTCAACCCACGGTGCAAAGTTCCCAGCAAAGAACTTCCTGCGCTGTAGGAAAAAAAAAATAAAATTTAAAAATGGGATGTAGCCAGGGGAAAGCACCTTGTCTTGCCCTTGGGGTTTTAGGAGCAGGATTATGTTCAGAAGCGTCTGTCTGGAGAAGGAAAACACGCACATGAGCCAAAATCAGCTGCTGGGTATAAGTCTGCAGATTTATTGCTAGAGCTGAAATAAAAATCAGGGCGGACGCATCAGCCAGAGCGGGTCCAACCGTTCCCATTTGGGGTTCAGGATTAAATTCTCGTAGCGTTGAAATGGCCGGATGACGTCAGTAGCCCTGATCCCAGACCTGTGGGCTAGTCTGTGGAGTCCTCATCCCACTCCTCGTTGCAGAAGTCGGTCTCGCAGCA